GCAGTAAAAAATTAAAATAAAATTTGATCAAAAGAATTAAAAACCTGATTTGTTGTCTTTTTAACGTTTCAATTATTTTTTATGAAGTAAATTAATTCAAGGCAATTATAAATTATATTAAAATTAATGGTAAAGTGTGGGGTGTGCTCAAAACTTAAAAATTTAATTAAATTAAAAAATAAAATAATATAAAGAATGGAAAAGAAAAGAAAAAAAATAAGAATGGAAAAATAAAATAGAATAATAAAATAAAATAAATAAATTATGGAATAAAAAACATCGTAAACAAACACGTGCACAGTATACAACACGCCCGCGCGCACACACAATCACAGCGGTAGCAACTCTTGGAACTTGATGTGCTTTTACTGCTGACTGTAAAGTTATGGAAGATAAACTTTTATAGCCAAACACCCATTTAATTAAACAGCATCCGTGTCCAGACGCTCAAACGTCTCTCTGTACTGCAGATTACACAGTTTCTCCATGCTGATGAGTCTCAGTTGCAAACCGCACGCTTAAATCTAGCGAACGATTCGCGTCCGTCGAGTCACCATGCATAATTTATGCCACGTAGCATTAGCTAAACATAAACATTCAACTCTGATGAGTCAAAGCAGCTATTTTGCTTCGACAAGCCCAAGATCATTGCTGTCCCATGTACAGTAAAGCACCTTTGTTTCAGATTATGCAAAACTTGAGTCCCGTATTGTGCAAAGAAAGAGGAAAAGGCAGTGCCACTGATTATTTATAGCCTTTTCATAGCTAAATCAGTTAGAAACCCATATTGTGTGCATACAGACTGATAACTTTGTATTACTGTGAGAATTCACACCGCTGATCAGTAAAGCCCCGTCAACACAATCTCTCAGATTAGCATTAGCCCTGGCGCTAATCTGCGAAACGTGAGTCCGTGACTTGGTCTTAGTACACTTATTAGCCAACAAAACCACAGAACGCTCACGTCTAGTGTGGGATTTCACCGGCATTCTAGAACTCTGGATGACCCTTTGATTGGCCGGGTGGGAAGTGCTGGAATATTCTGGAAGTCTGACACAGACATTCCACGACTGCAATACAAGAACAGATGGCAAGATTCTAGAATATTCTATTCTATTCTATTCTAGAATCTCACACCCGCCTCCATTTAAAACACTCACTGCTGTAAAATACTGTAAAATTTATGAAATATTACAACTATTTAAAATACCTGTTTTCTATGTGAACATTTTATAATATTATTTATTCCTGTGATCAAGGCTGTATTTTCAGCATCATTACTCCAGTCTTCAGTGTCACATGATCTTTCAGAAATCATTCTAATATGCTGATTTGCTGCTCAAGAAATATGTCTGATTATTATCAATGTTGAAAACAGTTGTGCTGCCCAATATTTTTGTGGAAACCGTGATATATTTTATTTTTCAGGATTCTTTGATGAACAGAAAGTTCAAAAGAACAACATTTATTTGAAACAGAAATCTTTTGTAACATTATAAATGTCTTTAATGTCACTTTTGATCCATTTAATTCATCCTTGCTGAATAAACGTATTAATTATTATTTTTTTTAAATCTTATTTACCCCAAATGTTTGAATGGTATATCTCAGTTTCCACCAAATAATAAGCAGCAAAAACTGTTTTCAACATTGATATTAAAAATAAATAGGAATTTCTGAAGGATCATGAGACACTGAAGACTGGAGTAATTATGCTGAAAATTCAGCTTTACATCACAGGGATAAATAAAATGTTAAGATGTATTAAAATAGTAAACAGTCAATTTAAATTGTCAAAATATTTCACAATATTACTGTTTTATTGTATTGGTGATCAAATAAATGCAGCCTTGGTGAGCAGAAGACACTATAAAACTTGAAAAACATTGAAAAATCTTAATTATTCCAAACATTTGACTGGTAGTATATCTATTTTATTAAACTTCAGCATCAAATCACATGTTTTGTTGAGCAGATGTTACTTTACAAAGCAATCAGATTCAGTTTTCACCCGGGGGCCGATAAAAGAAAGAAAGAAATCATCCTTTCAAAACAGAATGGTGACAAAAAATAAATTTTCTTCATAAAAACTAAAAATCCTCTGTCCACATTGATTACTGTAAAACGTCCCACATCTTAACTTGCTTTGTTTTGTCTCTCTGAAGTATTTAATTTCACATGATGGTCTTAACTAGCCAGGCAAACAGACCTAAAGCACTTCACAGGTCTCCGTCATCTCATAGTTAAACATCTCCGACTTCCTCACACGCCTCAAGGTCCACAGGCTTTGTGGTTATGTAATATTATCATCAGTCACATGCTATAATCCATGCTAAACCGAATTAAACCAATCTAAACCGGATACCACGGCAAACGACCCGTTCAGCTCGGCAGAATCGAGAAACATGCGTCTAATTCCCGGTCGTGCCTGGCTTTCCGAGGAACGCCGCTAATCTGGAGCGTGTAGGGGAAGAGGGGGAGTCCTGCTGGACTAATGGAGGTCCTAATGGAGGTCTCGTGGTCTCCTTCATGGGTCTCATGACCGAACCAGGCTCTCAGCCAGAATCAAACTCATGACATGGCCACAAGCTCCATACAGCCCTGACTGAACAGTGTGGAATACCATTAAAAGCCTTTTTACAGGAAATGGAAGTGAACGTTGGTGAATTTCCCTTGGGTATCTATCTGAGAAGAAAGGGTTGGAATCAATTATATTTCAGCTGAGGCCAAGAACTTCAAACGTCAGGAAAATCTGATTCATAGCAAAACAAATCTGTCTAAAACCTTCATGGATGAATCGTTCATAATATATAACATGCACTATGCATTTACAAAATAAATAGGGTGGTTTTACAAGTCATGCCATCTTGAAGATAAATAGTTCAACTTCCTGTGTGTTTTGGACAGTTCAAGTCAAATTGAAACTCATGAATTGAAAGGAAGCCAATTTTTTTATTCTGTATCTCATCCACACTACAAAAAATTGTCTTACTGTCTTGTTTTCCAGTACAAATATCAAAACAATCTTAAATCAGATACATTTATCTGAGATTCAAAATGATTTAGCAAATGAAGTCTTGTTTGTGTGGAAACCATGATACATTTTGTTTCAGGATTCTTTGATGAATAGAAAGTTCAAAAGAACAACATTGATTTATTTTTGTAACATTATAAATGTCTTCATTGTCACTTTTTAATGAATTTAATGCATCCTTGCTGAATTAAAGTGTTAATTTCTTTTTGTTTAATTTTACTTACCCCCATTTTTTACGGTATGTCATGGTTTCTGCCAAATATTAAGCAGCAAAGGCAGTTTTCATCATTGATAAATAATCAGCATATTAGAATGATTTCTGAAAGATCATGTGACACTGAAGACTGGAGTAATGATGCTGAAAATTCAGCTTTCATCACAGGAATAAATTACATTTTAATATATATTCACATAGAAAACAGTTATTTTAAATTATAAAAAAACATTTCACAATATTACTGTTTTTACTGTATTTTTCACCAAATAAATGCAGCCTTGATGATCAGAGGAGACTTCCTCAAACATTACCAAATCTTAATTTTTTTAATTAAAGTTTCCTGAAAAATCTCAAAATTGTGTTTTTGCTTAAAATAAAATCAAATATCCGTAACTCAAAGATAATTTTTCTTACCCCCTTTTTTTCTTGTTTTAAGCAAAACTTTAGATTAGATTTAGATTTGTACTGGAAAACGAGACAAAAATACTGAGTAAGAAGATGTATTTTTTAGGAACTTCCCAGAAAGACATGAGAAGCCCTTTAGGAAGGATATGTTACAATAAAACTGAGCCACTGATCTGTATGAGTAATCTATATGATGACTATGCTGGAAAGCTTGACATTGGAGGTCTGAAAAAGAGTTCAACAGACATTAACAGCTATTGAAATTTTAATCACAAAGTCAGGAAGTGAATTTGCAGAGGTTAGGACAATGTGGGTGCGCCTGTGCTGTAAGAACCGTTGCTATAATCATGACTAATAAGATCATGTTCCCTTCATTGCCAACAGTGTGTGAGTCATGTTCACATGCATCCTTCAATCCCATGAGTAAGACAAACGGACAGTGAGATGGAATGTGCATCTTGTGTTTTCACTGTGTGAGAGGTGAAGAAATACAGAGAAAGACAGAAAGAGATGAGTACTAAATGAATGGCACTTTTACGATCTGTCTAAATAATAAAGGACTGAAAGATTCTGACAAAACAGCAGTTTATTCTGCTAAAGAATTGCCCACTTAGACTAAAAAAAGCTCATCATCATTTTTTTCCCTTTTTAATACTTTTTTTTTTTTACATATAATAAATAATGTTTTTTTTTTTTCATTTATATAATTTATATTTATTAATATAATATTTATTATTAATATAATTGTATTAGTATAGTATGTATGATTTTTCATATATTTATATTTTCATACATTTATTAATATGCATATTTCATATGTATTGAATATATATATATTCGATAC